GACTGCGGGGTCCACAGGGAGTCAGCAGCAGCGGCAGTGGAGTTCTGTGGCTCCTGGTGGGGCAGGAGCAGCTTCCACCTGAGGAATTGACCTGTGGGAGGGAAGGAGGGCCCCACCCAAGGAGGACACTAGGAATGGCCAAGGCACAGGGGTGATGCAGTAGCTGTCTCTGAGCTCCAATGGCCTGGCCCCAACTCCCACCCACCTCTTCCCCACTAGCTATGTGGCTCCCGCCTGTGCCCTAGCACTGGGGACCTTTCCCCGTGGCATCCTCAGTGCCCAGCACAGTGGCTGGCACACAGGAGCTGCATGACCGCCACTGTGTTCCTTCTCCTTGGACAGCAGTACTTGCTGCCGGCATGGGAGCCTGGGACAGGTCAGGGGGTTGCCGATCAAGAATCAGGGTCTCTGGGGACTTGGGGCTCCCGGACAGGGCCTGGTCAGGTAGTTGGGGGGTGCTGGCATAAGTGGTAAGTGCCCAAGCCTGGCTGGCTCCTAGGGCCCTCCCAGCCCGCCTCCCTTTCCAAAGATGCAAGACTCAGGGGGCTGAGGGCAGGGGTGTGTGGCAGCCATCTGAATGTTTTCAGGTCCACAGGGCTTGGTGGTAGAGGGACCAGGAGAGACCTGACCACTGAGGAGGCAGGGCTGGACCCAGTGGGTCTAGTGAAGAGTTCAGAGAATCTGGGGGAGGTGAAGAGGGGGACCCCTGTGTACACCAGTGGGCCATGAGCCCTGGTACCAGCCTGGCCACAAGGAGCCCTTGCCCTGTGACACATCCCCAATCCTCAACAGCCCTACACATGGGGGCAGGACTATTATCTCACAGTCCGGCCAGGGGAAGTGACTTGCCTGAGGCCACACAGCCAGGAGGGAGCGGAGACAGGGTCTGAGCCTAGGTGGGGGCAGCTGAGCCAGGGCCTGCAGAGGTTGGGGAGAAGGGCACCCAGTGGAGGGCACCCAGGCCGGCAAGGAAAGGAGAGGCAGCCCCACTGTAAACACCGAGCCCTGGCCAGTGGGTCACACCTGCTCCCCCGGGCCTGCCCTGCTGCCCAGTTTGCATTTCTGGGTGGTGGAAGGCCCCACCCGAGAGCATCAAGAGCCAGGAGGCAGAGAGCTCCTGAGGACAAACCAGGACTCATGGTCACAGCCACCCAGGCTGAGGCCCAGAGAGGGTGAGCAACTTGCTCATGACCACACTGCCAGGAAAGGAGAGCACAGCAGAGCACCGAGGCCCCGCCTACAGCAAGCCACGGCCAGTCGAGAACTCAGGCCTATAGAAGTGGCTCTGACCACCTCCATTGGTGACCTCCCAGCCCTGACTTTCTTGGTTGGAGCCTGGGGCGAGGGAACCCCCAACCTTGGAGTCCAGCATGTTCCTCCCTCCCAGCCTCCTGCTGACACGCCAGATACCGCCTCTTCCAGAGCCTGTCCCGTCCCTGCTGCTAGTCACTCCACAGCCATTTGCTGAGTACCTGGGGGCAAAGCCCCAGGAAGGTAGACTCAGGCCATACAGAGCTCAGCCCTGAAGATGTCCCTGTGGCACTGCTTATAGCAACGAAGGATGGTGACATGAGTGTCCTTCCACAGGAGCAGCCAGAATGTTGGCTCTGGGGACACCTGCTCCCCTGTGGCCTGAGCAAGTTACTTCCCCCTTGGAGATGTTTCCTTCCCTGTGGGATGGGGACAGTCACAGACTCAGGAACGGGGCCTCCAGTCATTGGGCTGACTGGACAACCTTTAAAACTGCCACTAATCCACATCAGTGACAAGGAGAGAGGTAAATGACATTATGTGGAAAAAAGGTGGCTGCAATACAATTCCCCCATCCCCTCTTTAAAAGAAAATGAAGCTTTGATATGCTTAAGGAAAGTCTGAGAAAAAGACGCCCCCCAAACATTGGTATTTTTTCTTTTTGCCCTTTATTTTTTCTAGATTTTCTACAGCAAGCATAATGCTTGTGAAATAAGGGGAAAAACAAGATATGCTTCTACAAAGACACTGGTCCTGCCCTCAGAAAGATGACACCCTGGTAGGGATCCCACGTTCTGTGTGCTTGTACCTCTGTGGCTTATCAACCTTGAATGCCATCAGTGCTCAAAATTTGCATGACCAAACTGGTGAAGAACCCTGAGAGAGCCAAATGACCCTCAAAGCCTTTGTCCAGCCTCAGGCTGATGTGGGCACCAGAGCGGGAGGCACTGGGCAGGGAGCGCCACAACTTTGGTGTGCAGGCTGGAAGACTGAACAGAGGGAAGCTCCCAGGCTATCTGAGAGGCCCTGAAATGCCCCAGGGCTCCACACAGCTCTGCCCAGCAACCCCCAACTTCCCATCCTGCAGAAGGAGGAAGCAGGCCCCAGTGCGAGCAGGACCCTCAGCTCTCCCTGGCGTTGGCTTCCTGTCTGCCCAGGAGGTGAGTAACGTCCGCTCCCCACCCCCACGCATCCCTTCTGGAGGCCAGGCCTCACATTTTCCGTTCAGGAAGGGGCAGAGTGAGAGGCCTAGAGAAGCACATCAAGGGGAAATGGAAGAAGCGGCCCACCTGCAGGGGTCGGGACCCTGGCCTGGTGTGTACCTGGCCTTGAGGAGGCCCGCCGGCTCACCTGCCTGTGTACGCATGCTTGTTCATTCAACAAACACTTCCCCAGCGCCTGCTCTGTGCTAGGCGTTGTCTCAGGCAGACCCATATTACCTCCGGATGGTGTTCTCAGGGGTAGGTTTCAATAAATGTCATTTATTCAGTCCACTAGCAAATATTCAGTAAGCCCCTATAACATGCCAGGTGTGCAGCTGGGCAGAGCCGAGACCAAGACTGACTGCACCCCACAGAGCACACAGTGGGGGCCACAGACGTCCATCTTTCCAATTTGCTGTGTCCACAGGCCATATACCAAGCCCATCTGGGGTTGGGGGAGGCTTCTGGGATGATGACACACGAGTGCGACTGGGCCCAGGGTCTAGGCTGGCCTCTCACCAGCACATCAGCCCACAGCTTCCAGACACAGCCTCTGATTAAATAATTAAATTGATGGTATCATGGTCAACACCATACTCCCTGTCTCTAGCTCTGGTTGCCTGCCCTGATGAACACCCTTGTCCTATGGGCAGACCAGCCTGCCTCAGCCCAGCGCCATGTCTAGGAGGGGCCTGGGGTGGGTGCGTGACTACGCCCAGGCCAGCCGCAGGATACACTGACCCCATCAGCCTCTTTGCTTCTCTCAGCCTTGTCTACATGATCAGCCAACCTCCGGGCAGCAGGGTGACAGATGCTGAGGATGCCCCGTGGCCTCCATGGAAACACTGCCTTCTTCTGCCTGGTCCTGAAGGCCCCCAAATCACCAAATCTCTTCAGGAAGTGTCTCCAACAGAGCTCACACTCCCAAAGGGTCGTTGTAATGAATAATAACACAAGACTTTTTTGGGAATGAGTCAGGGAATATGGCCCCCTATTCAGTCCTACTACTCCGGGTTTTTAAAAAAATGTCCTGGGTCCTTCTTTTGGGGGTTGTGTATAACCACAGCCCTTGGTGTTCCTCTGGGCATGGCCTTCAACTAGCTTAAATGAGGAGGGAGGTCAGCTGCTGGGCATATCCCAGCCCAGAGCCCCTTGCAGCACGTGGCCACCCAGTCCCCACCCCGTGGGAACGCTGGAAAGCGGTATTGGTTTGCGAGTCTCACAGCACGAGGGGTCGTGCTGACCTCACGAGGCACCAAGGCACAAAAGCCCTTTCTTTCCCATAGCTTTGCACCCCACTCCTCACACATCATTCTCTGGGCTCCCCAGCCCCTGGCCCAGACACCTCCAGCTGCCTCCAGGCTGTGTCTCCTCCCAAACAAAGCCGGATTCAGGCCTGAGAGGGCGGTCGGGAGGCAGGCACAAGGGTTCTGCCATGGAGACGAACTTTGACCCAAACTGCAAGGCTCCTACCCCTTATTTACTCTTTAAGGCTAGCCCGTGTCACAGAGTTAACATTACACCCCTTTTCTACCCTGCACCTCCCTCCCACATTCCAGGCTCCGACCTTTAACCCCTCCTAATTGCCAGCTCCTACACCCCAGTTCTCTGAGGCCCAGCTTCAGCTCATCCCCTGCCCGCAATTGCCTCCTCCCCAGAAATAAGACCCCATCAGGCGCCCTCTGATCATAGGTGCCACCTCATGCCACAACCCCGTCAAACTGAGGCAGATGCCAATGCCGAGAGCCCAACCCCCTGGGGGATCCACGTGGGAGCTCTTACTCTTGACCCTAACTCTTCAGCCCCCTGGGGGGCTATGGGAGAGTGCAGACATCTCCTCAGCCAGCCCCACCTTATCCCAAGGGGCCAGGACATACATGTGGACACCTGTACTGCCTGGTTACTCACCAGGTTACCCCGACCCATAGCCTCACATCTGAGCTGCAGAAACACAGCTCTTGGGCCAGCTCGTGGCTCACTTGGGAGAGTGTGGTGCTGATAACACCAAGGCCACAGGTTCGGTTCCCTATATAGGGATGGCTGGTTAGCTCAATTGGGAGAGCGTGGTGCTGACAACACCAAGTTAAGGGTTAAGATCCCCTTACCAGTCATCTTTAAAAAAAAAAAAGGAACACATTTCTTGTTTTTGTTGCTGGGCAGCTGGACTGTTCTGGGTCAGGCACATTGTTAACCTCCCCAGACCTGAATTATGATAATGTTGAAATCCATATCCCACAAGCCTGTGAGCGTCAGAGCAACCCAACAGGCATGACACTGCCTAGGGCTGCCAGTCCCTGTGGGCTCTGTCTTTTCATACTGGGGAGGAACAACTTGCTGTCCCTGGAACCAGGACTGGGGCAGCAAGCGGGGCCCACAGAGATGCTGAGAACACCGGGTGGCTTTAAGCCTGGGCCTGGGCCACCCCCAGAGGCCTCGGCCCAGCTGCTGCCACCCAGGAGATTGTCCACACCTCTAGATGACCTCAGGACAACCAGGCCCCTGCAGTCAGCACAGACCCCCCTCCACCGGCCACCAAGGGACACTTACCGTCCTCTTGGCTGTGCAGGTTCTGCGGGCTCCGCATCCTCTCGTCCTGGCTGGGACTCAGGCTGGAGGCCAGGTGTGGGTCAGCTGACATCCATGTGGAGTCGTTCATATCAAAATCTTCACTGCTCACAGACGTCTCATCCTGAGCAGGGACAAAGAAGGCGGAAGTTCAACAGGGACGGGCTCTCCTCAGGCCCGCCGCAGACTTTTGGGTGGACCCCAGAGCCCGTGGGCACATGGAAGTGCTGCAGGAGCCCCCAAACCTTGCGTGAGGGCTGAGTGGCACTCCCCCTGCCCCGTGGAAGTGGCTCGGGCTCTGGTTCCTGTCGGAAGCCAGGGCTGAGGGCCCGCGCTGTCTGTAATTGAAGACAATTATGAGGTCTTGCATCCTGTGGGGCGGAGAGCAGGGCCTGGCTCTTACCCTGTGAGCCAAGGTTGAAACCAGCGCTGTAAACAAGGGCCACGCTCCCTGTGCCCTGCCCACAGCCCAGGAAGGGGGCTCACTCTGCACGGGGCCAGGCAGCCAGCAGTGGGTGGCAGGACATGCCGGGCACCACCGAGGCCAGGCTGGCCACCCCTGCCGGGCCTGCCGCCACTCCTGTGGAGCATGCATGGAATTCCTTTCTCCCACTCCCCCAGCCCAGAGGACATTTTTGTCTTCCTCCTTGCTAACCTTTGCTGCGCTTCAAAAGATATGCTCTTGGGCAGCTTCCAGAGCTGAAAAGGCCAGCCCCAGAAGTGCAGAGAGGGAAGGGGGTGGGGCGGGCCAGGGTTCCGATCAGACCGCAAAGGGGGTTCGGCTCGAGAGCCTAGGGGGCCGCAAGGGCCTTCCAAACAGCCGGAGGGCCTGCTGGAGAGGACCACGCCTGCCTCCTCTCCTGGCTGCCGGCTTCAGTGAGCCCTTGGCCAGTCATCCGGGAACCCCCAGGGTGGGGCCCCTTCAATCCAGCCCTCCAGCAGGAAGGGACCCCACCTCCTTCTGGCCCAGCCTCTTTGGGAGCAGCAACTGTGCTTGGGAGCGGGCTGTAAAACGCAAGATGACCCAGCGGCTCCCACCCTCAGAGTTCTGGCCTGGCCCCTCCCTGTTCCCCCCAGCAAGATACAATGGCCTCTGTGGGCCCCCAGTAAGGACCTCTGGAAGAGCACCCCCCAGCTTCCCCTCCAGGGCCCCTCACAGACGTCTCTTTTATAGTGAGCAAACACACTTTGGTTCGAACTTTCTTCACTGCTGTCCCTGAGGCACACACATCTGCTCCAAGTGCCAGGGAACCAGCGTGGATTAGCCTCCATCCCTCCCCCACCGCCAGGCCGGTAGGGAGTTTCCTGGAATTTACAGCTTCTGTGCAGTGAGTGTGGACCCTCTGTGGCTGAATCCAGTCCCCATTCGGCACACCCAGAGCTTCAGGGGACGGAGCCCACGAATCCTCTCCGCACACACGCCTGCGAGCACTCACCCTGCCTCCCTCCCACAGGCTGCCTGCTCCATGAACACAGCACACCCACCCACAGCCTTCCTATGTGAAAACTCACATTCACTCCACTGCCTTCTCACCCCCCCCCCGCTCTCTCTGCACAACAAAACTCTCCCCTGTGCTAACTACTCTAACCCTGTAGAAAGAGAGAGACAGAGAGAGAAGGAGGAGGAGAAGGAGTAGGGAGGCTGGCAGGTGGGGGATGGTCCCTTGGAGGTGCAGAGCAAGGATGCAAGGACACAAGTGGCCAGTGGCATCCATCCTCCCAGTTGGTCCTGCTGTGTGCGTCTGGGAACCAGGAACAGGGCATCTTCACTTGGGCCCCTTGCTCCTTCCTGGCTGCCCAGGTGGTGCCATGCTCAGGGTATGACTGAAGTCATGGCTGAAGTAGGAAGACTCCGGGTGCTGCTGACACACTCCTGACTTAAAAGACCAGGTATTCTGTTACCATTTGGAAGCACCAACACCTGCTCCAAACTCTCCTTCCATTCATTCAAGCAGGCTTCCAGGTGCTGGGAAATTCAGCTGTGGACAAGGCAAACTCCTGGCCTTCCTGGCACTCACCACCTGGTGGGGGAGACGGCCAAAAAGCAGAAAAGTACCTAATGTCGGTGGTCGTGAGGGCTCCTAAGTAGAATGAGGCAGAGTAAGGGACAGTGGCCTGCATTTGCAAGGATTGGCAAGGAAGGCCCCTCTAGTCAGAGGACATCTGAGCAGAGGCCTGCAGGAAGTGGGGACAGGAGCTGTGTTGGGGGCCCCATGGGGAGCAAGGCGGGCACATACTGCAGGGTTTGAGGAGCAGCAAAGAGGACACTGCATCCAGGGGCGGGTGAGCACATGGGGCCTCCAAGGCACGCATGACCCCGGGCAGGGCTGTACCTGTCATCTCTGGCTCAGAGCAAGATTGGGGAGAGTTCCACTAAGCACACAGGGGCTCACTGAGGACCTAGACAAAGTCAGAAATGCTGGGAGTGGCTCTGAAGGCTCCCACACTCTGGTCTCACTCAGCCAAGTTCAAAACAATAACAACAGGAGCCAAAGCTTCTCAGGCACGAAATACTGCCCTTGCTCGTCTTATTTCCTCCTCACCAAAGGCCCCCCAGGTAGATACAGTTTTCAGCCCCATTCTACAGATGAGGAAACGGAGTCTCCAAGAAGTTAAGGCACTTGCCCAAGGTCATGAGCCAACAAGTGGCAGAGCCAGATCTGTGCAGCCGCCGAGGCCTAGACATGCCTTCCTCTCGCCTCCAGGCCTTGGCTCAAGCTGTTCCTCACCCAGACTGCCCACTGCTGCTGTGTGCCACAACCCTTGCCAAGTGCACACCCTCCTTCCCCATCAACTCTGGCTCATTCCCCATGGTTCCTCTTCTCAAACAACCTGCCTGTACCATTAGCCCTGGCAGGTGGGCATGCATCCCTCAGCTGCAGCATGTCACTGTACTGTGGGACTCTGTCCTGTCTTTCCCCAGAACACCTTAGGTCCTTCCAAGAGTGGGGCCCAGGCTGTATGTTCTCCGAATCCCCCACAAGGCCAGTGAGACTTATTGCATCAAGTGAATTGCCTGGCACGATGCTGATGTTTAATGAGGACGCTGCATTAATTTGACAATTAAGGACTCTGGTCCCATTGCGCACAATTCTTGAATGGAGGCCATATGAAAACCTGGGCGCTGGCTGGTCGGCCAGCGCAGCATCTGCCTCGCACCCTCTTCCTCCTCGGCTGCCAGCCACCCCCTGACAGTCTAGGGTTGCTCTGGCTCAGATCGCTGAGCTGTCCACCCAAATGCCCCCTCCACACATCTCTTCCCCGACAGATCCCACTGGGAAGAGGTGGGCTACATTTCACATTGACATCAAAATCACCCAACAATGAAGAGTATCCAGTGCCCACATGCATGGGGTTTCCGGGCAAGGGTTTCATGGGATTCCTCAGGCCTATCTCCAGGTCTGATAATTGCCCTTCAGACACCTGCTCCAGCTGCCTAGGGGCATAGAGCCAGTGGCAGATCTGGGGCCTGAACCCCAGGCAGCCTGCGCTCAGAGTCTACACCACAGTGCCACTGCACCACCGGCCACCTCACCACACTTCCTCCCATTCAGTCTAAAGAACCAGATTCCTTTACGATGCAGTGTCTCGAGATGAGACCTGCAGGGAACACATAGGTGGTGAAGCTATCTTCACACCTGCACACACACACACACACACACACAAACACGTGCGCTCACTCTCTTCAATGAGGTCACGCACATTTACTGGGCATGTACTATGTGCTGGCATTGTGCTAGGTTCTTTCCCTCTGGGCCAAGATATCTAGGGAAAGGGACCAGCTAAAAATTCTGACCTCCTTGTAGGTGCTGGGGGTTGAGGATGGGGGCTCCGGGATCCCACCCCCCACTTACCTAATGATCGTTCTCTCTCCAGGGAGTTTTCCCACAGCTCCTGGGGTTCTGCCACATGAACCCCAGTTTTGTGAAAAGTGATTCTATCTAAGATTTTGACACCCTGACTGCTACAGCATTTTTTTTAAAAGTGAGAAATCAAGTCTATTAAACCTAAATTCAAAAAAAAAAAAGCAAAACCAAATAAGTTTCTGTCAGACTTATACTGACACCTTTAATACTCACACTTTCAGGGCTAATTCGGAAAAGCCTTCTGGAGACCCCTCTGCAACTCGCCAGGAACAGTAGAGCCCCCCAGCTGCAAGGGGCAGACTGTAACTCCAGCCACCCACTCAAACCCTGAGCCAAAGGAGGAGAAACAGGCTAACTACAAAGGCAATTACCAGCACGCACAGTTCAGAATCCATCAACTACGACTGTGCAGAGGGAAAAATACACCTGAGTCCTGAGGGACTTGTGGGAGGCAGCCAGAACAGGTTTGAGAGACCCAAGGCGCTCCCTGCTGGCCTAGAGGTCACAAGTTGGGTTCTTCTTGCTTTTCTGGAATCCCACGGGAATTACAGCTACTAATCTCTCCCTTTCTGTTAACAAACTTCAACAAAACTTTCATTAGAGAAGAGTGTGTGCAACCCATTACTTCTGGGACTTCTCTCCCTGGGCCCCCCATGTGACTGGCAGCCAGCTGCCCCTGGTTCCTATAGCCTCTGCTCTTGGTCACACTGAAGCTGGCGGCCTTGCCCATCCAGCAATAAAAGTCCATCATTTATTTGGCACCAAAGGGCCTGAGCCATTGTGGGTCACAGGGCAATAGGCCCAACAGCCCTCTGAAAATAAAACTCAAGAGTTGGGCGGGCAGGTGGGTAGTACCCAGTCAGCCCCTGGGACACGCCTAAACCTGGGGCCCTGACTCTGGGCAGAAGGAGAGAGGTGACCAAACCCTCCCAGCTCTTATCTTCAGTCCAAAATTCATGGGCAGGTTCAGTTTCTTTCTACCCAGCTCCCGAGGCCCTCCCTCCCTCTGCAGGCAAACCAGCACCAAGCACTGCCCAGCCTAGGAGGAGGAGAAACCAGGAGAGCAGAGGAGAAATGGTGAAAACGGGCCTGTATCCATGGCTTGTAACCATGGGCAGGTGCTATCAGTAACCTGATTATTTTACAACTGGGGTCAATTTCTCTGGAACTGGGTTCCTGGTGCCTCTGAAGTCGAGCCATTTGCATCCTCCAGCACTCAGGATCTTGGGGCGTGCCTCACACAATATTTTCCAGGCCT